AAATGCAACAGTCCTTGCTGTGTTGTCCTCATGCAGTTGTGGGAGAACAGCCCCAAGTCCATAATCAGAAGCATCAGTAGTTACAATTGTGGGCAATGCAGGACTGAATAGTGCAAGTATTGCACTATGTACAATAAGTCTTTCTGGTGCATCCGTTGTCCACACTAAGGTTGAACTTCTCCATAGTAATTCCCGTAACAGTTCAATGACAGAAGCAGAATTGGGAATGAATTTTGCATACCAGGAGATAAGACCCAAGAAGGAACGTAAGGTTTGCAAATCTGTTGGAGGAGGAGCATTTGAAATTGCCAGGATATGATCTGGATCAGGTTTTAGTCCAGCCTGTGAAATTGTATGCCCCAGAAAGGAGAGTTCAGTTTGTCTAAATTTGCATTTGGACCTATTGCGCTGGATGCCTGGTGTGTTGATGCAGTTTAGTACAGGCTGCAGGTTATTGTCATGCTCCTCAGAAGTATTTCCAAACATGATAATATCATCCAGATAGCACTGAACTCCATGTTGATTCTTCAGAATCAATGACATCATTTTTTAAAAGGCACTTGGGGCAGATGCGAGACAGTATGGAACATATTTAAAACAAAATAGTCCCTCATGTGTAATAAATGCTGTGAAGTCTCTGCTATCTTCATGCAACATAACCTGGTGGTATGCGCTCTGCAAATCAAGAGTGGAAAACATCTTTGCTCCACGGAGTTCTGCAAACATTTCTTCTATGTGAGGAAGAGGATGACTGTCAATCACAATTGCTTTATTTGGCTCCCTTAAGTCCACACAAAGGCGAATGCCTCCACCCTTCTTCTGCGTCACTACTATAGGTGAAACTCATTCCGAGGAGTTGATCTCTTCAATAATGTCCTTTCAATAAAGTTTGCTAAGTTCCTCTGAAACAGCTTCCCTGACTGAAAATGGTAAGCACCGTAACTTCTGTCATACAGGCATCACATTATTCTGCATTTTAACTTTATGCAGAAACCCATAAACACAGCCGAGTTTCTACTCAACCTGGTGTTGGGTCCCAGCTGAAACTGGTGAGTGTACTGCAAGAGTGCTTTGCTGAGGAAGATCAACTCGTCCATTAACTACCCTGAGATTTAAAGCAGCCAGTAAATCTCTGCCAAAGATAGGAGTGCCTTTGTGGACAACGTAGAACTCTGCAGTTACACAGCAATTGCCAAAAGTAACTCTTACTGGCAGGGAGCCATGTACTGGAATATGGTTTTTCAAATAGCACACCAAGTGAAGTTTGGGTTCAGTAAGAGGCACATCTTTAAAGTAATGCAGATAGATGGAATCAGGTAGTATAGATACTGCTGAGCCAGTGTCCAACATTAGCTGAATAGAGTGTGGTTTGCCTGAGGGTATGGCAGAAACGTTTACAGTGTACTTTATCTGTTCTGGAATATGTGCAGTAGTGATTTTGTTCACGCTCAGCACAGTAACATCTGGTATTGTAACTGCATGCACCTGTTGATTAAACTGGCTACTGCGACATACTTTAGCAAAATGTCCAATCTTTTTACAATGATTGCACTGAGCTACTTTTGCCGGACATCCTGTGTAGCTTACAAGGTGTTGTGGGGATCCACAGCGAAAACATGCTTTTACTGTATTTTGAATTTGCTGATTCGGTGGTTTTTCATTAGTTTTCCTCTTGCAATTGTGTGTCTGCAGTGGTCACAGTCTGGACTGTGCCTCTTGTATCTATGCTCCTTATTTTGGCTTCAGCTGTAGCTGACTCAATCTGAGTAGCAATGGTTATTGTTTTTTCTAGTGTAAGTTGTGGTTCTAAAAGTAAGCGTTCTCTTACATGAAGCATGGTTGTTTTCTCAGTGAGCTGGTCTCTAATCATCTCATCTGCCACATTCCCAAAGTCACAAATTACAATCAGACTCCTCAGTGAAGCAATATGCTGCATTAAAGTTTCCCCTGGTTTCTGCTCACACTGCAAAATCTGAAGTGATTAGCTACTACATTCACTTTTGGCACAAAAAAATTCTTTAATGCAGTCTCATATTTATCATCTGCAAGGGGAAAAGTGTAAAATATACGCTGCCCTTCTGCTCCAAAGCAGTGGATTAGCAGAGCACGCTTTCTTACTTCAGAAATCTCTGTAGCACTGATTGCAAGCAGATAAGTCTCAGACATATGGATCCAGGTAGTAAAAGCAATTGGAGGCTCACCTGGGCTTTGCAGAAAGGGTGCAGGTGGGTTCAGAGGCAGAAGATCCATCCTCATTGCCAAAATGTTGTATCAACCAGGCAAGGTACTAACAAGCTTCAACAGGACTTTATTTTCAAAGTGGAAACCTCTTTACCAAGCTGCTGCTGCACCCTCTGTAGCTTTCTCCCAGCCTCTCAACTCCTCCCTGCTCCTTCCTGTTTCTTGTCCTTTCAGACTCCCAACAACCAGTGCTCCCAAATCTAATAATTATAAGCAACATCTAAACACCACACTCCTCAGGTGAGTATTTTTGCTGCTTTTGTTAAAAGCTGTTTCAGGTGACCAGTCTTACCTGAATCTAACTTTTTTTTTAATGTTTGGAGACACTTCACTGTTTGAATCAATATTTCCTTCCTTGCTTTTTTGTGCTTTTGTATAAAATAATCAAGGAGAAAATCCTGCCCCTGACTCTGAGACTACGGAGGCTCTCTTAGCAGCAAACCCACTGAACTTTCATTGTGCAAAGGGACCACTTTCCCTTTGAGCAGTGCTTTGACCCTCTGTATTCTCAGGATTTGGGTACAAGGGATGAGCACCCCTGTGGGGCACAGAGCCCTGCTCTGCTGGAGCACTCAGTGCAGTAGCATGCAGGCAGTGCACCCTCTAGTCTTCCCCTTCCCATAGTGAGGGGAGTACAGAAAGGACTACACAGGCTGCTCCAGCCATTGGGCTGTCTTAACTTCTTCAGATTGGCTCTTAAGCCACTCACTAAATAGACGGAGATGATTCATTTTGTTCATCTTTATATACATCTGCTTAGCATCTGGCCAGCTTCTTGCACTGAGTGCTGTATTTAGGATGTGCCACAAAAAATCCAGAATGTAATGGCCATTCTCCCCATACAGTATTACTTCCCTCCCATGTTTTCACCAGCTCTTCTGATAGTGGTCTACTGGAAAACTGTTATTGCAAGTGGCTAGAAAGAAAATAATCCCATGTTCAGATCTAGCTTCATAGCTTTGATCTTGCATTTGAAATATTCCAAATCTTTTCCTAGCTTTTCTTTGCATTTCTAAATATTTAAGAATTATTATGAAGGTGGCTAGGCTTACTTATGGAAAATAAAAGTGGTGATTGTTATGTCACAAAATCACTTGGACTAGACGGGACATCAAGTGGGTCATGTAGTCCATCCTCTTGCACTGTAGCTGCATGTATTTCATTATAACAACACTCTTCAGTTCTATAGAACCTTCCATCTGAATATCTCAAACTGTTTTACAAGCATGAATGAGTTCAACCCTTGTGAGGTGAGAATTATTATCCTCTCTTTTACAGTTAAAGAAAAAATGGCATTAAGACCCAATTTTTAGAAATGTGTGTGCACAAATTCCCACACAATCACAGTAATTGATACAAACATGTCCCTGTTAAATGGATGAAGGGCATATATGGAGGAGCAGAGTAAAGTTTGGTTTGGGAATAATCAATGTGCCATTTTATAGGTGAATATTTATTTAAGAGATTGTATGAATACTAAGTGTATCTGAACATTTATTTATTTTGCTGGTTAATTTCCATACATTGAAATGCTTGGTGGTTTTAACTAAAATTTTCCTGGAATATATATGTAGCAGTAACCTTACTTTTAAATTGATAGCAGTTTCTATTAATGTACTTGAATATACATATCACCTCTGTTTCAGAATTCCTTAAAAAAATAACATAGAACCTGGGAAATTAAGTGTACCAGAACCCTAATTAGGACTTTGGGGGATATTTTCAATTAATAAATTCCATAATAAGAAGATATCTAAGCTGATTCTTTTGTGATATGACATACTCAACATGAAAATGTAAATGTTACTCTCCAGTTAGTTGCATATAGCCAAATGAATAAAAGCTATGACATTAATAATAAACTATATTCAGCTATGATTGATAGGCTTTTCTGCAGTGAGGAAAGATTGTCTTGGGTACAATCTGTCCTAACAGCTCTGCGATATGTTAATATTTTACTCAGACTAGAGAAAAGATATATTCAGATGTCCACCATATAAGAGGGGTACATGGGCTGAGGATGTTACTGCAGCCTTGAGGTTGCAACAGAAGCTGTAAAATAGGAAGGATTTTATTGTCTCCTCCCAATATATGTGCCAAGCCTGTGCCAATCAGTGTAGGGAGCAGGATTTGCACAAGGTTATGTCCTAGGATGCTTTTTTGCTTACATGAAAATCTTGGGGTGAGGTGGGACATGATACATAATGCTCCAGAGGGCATAGAACATTCTTCTGGTGAGCTCTGTGCCATGGCAAATATTTTCTATGATACGGTATCTCTGGTTGGCTTAACTGATGTCCAAGTATAATAAAAGATTACTACATTGATGTTGGATATTTTTTACTCCATCAGAGAAAAATCTATCTTACACATAGCCATTCCACTATTACCTGAATTATCAGAAGAAGGTACTAGAGTTTTTTCCACACAACATGGAGTCCAGAGATCTTAGGCTGGATAGTTCACAGCCTGTCCCCTTGTGTCGCTGTTTACTTTCATGCAAAGTGAATGGCCTAAAATGCTGTTTTTCTGACTTGGTATCTTTTTTTTTTTTTACAACTCTGCACAAATTTTACTGATTACCCAAGATGCACTAAAGTGAAGAATCAGGCCCGTTAAATGAATCCAGCCCTGTTATTCAAGCCAGCAACATCTAGAACTGAGAGTACCAGTACCATTTATGTAATGCCAGAACTTAACTTATAAAGTAAATAACCATTTTAGCAATCAGTTTCTGGTACTATCCACCCCTACGGTACCTTTTCCTTTAAGAGGGACTCCAGCTGACTTAATGTCATGGTTTGGCTGTCTTGGCTATCATTCCATCTAAAAATAAACAATATTAGCAAAAGGATTAGACATAAGGCAAATGCATTACATTACTGTTGTAGACCAACAATGGCCCAATTATTGATATCAGTGAGAGTTTTACCTAAGTATGGAATGAGTAAAGACTGCAGGAATGGGCCTCCACACTGATCCTGCACAGGGCTCTGGGCCTGGCTGCATTGCACTGCTCCACTGGCACAAAGTAGTACTGAATCTGGTGGATCAAGCTCCCAGATGATCTCCCCGTGCAAGTGGATTCTTGAGCAATGTAGAGACATTGTAGCTCCTACACCTTGCACCTGACAATGTGGAGGAAGAGGCTGGAGGACAATAGCATAGCTTCCCAGTGCCTAAGCAATCCCCAGCTGTTATAACAGCCCATTGGGACCATTGGCAGCTGATACTGATACGTGGCTGGGGCAGGGAACAAGACTGACACACACAGGAATCCTAGAATCAGGTGAGCACAAAGGACATCTCTGTACCTCAATGCCCAGCTGCATTGAGTGCTCCTCAGCCATAAATGAGGATCTAGCCCTTTGCATTTATATAATCATTGTCAATGATCTTTTAACATGTGAGGTCTTTTAGAAAAAGAATGGCCAAACTTTCACCCATTTACTTACATCAAAATCACAGACCAAGTCATTTTCACAGTTAACAATTAACAAATTTTATTTTTCTCAATGGATCCAACAGATTCTAAATTCCTGTTTTCCCAGGCTCTTCCCCTAACTAAGGGCTTGACCCTGCAAATACTTATGCAAGAAAGTACTCAGGTGTGTATTTGCAGGATCAAGTGCTAAAGACCAAATTCTGCCCTGACTTACAGCCTACTGGGTTCATTGAGATTGTGTGGGCTTTAAATCAAGGCAGAAACCAGCCCTAAGCTCCCTCTTACAAAATTTTCTCTGGAAAAACAGCACCTGCAGTGCCCTCCTGTGGAAAACTCCTGTAAGTGAAGCTACAGCTATCCCACATTTAGTTTTCTTCACAACATTTTCTGATTTACATTGCATGTAGTTTTAATACAAGTCTACAAATATTTGGCCGGTCAAAATGCAGCATTTTCTAATTATAGGTTTGATTCTGTTCCCTTTCACCAGTATAAACCAAGAGTTTATGAACTAAACTCATTCAGATTCCATGCGGAAGTGAGAGGAAAATCAGGCCCCACATGTTTAACCTATTCATTATTTTTTCCATGATATAAAAAGGGATTAATCTTTCATTTTGAGCATGAGCCTTCATTCTCTATTTAATTAGTTTTTGCTAATTAATCACAATCCCTTGTTTCTCTGGAAGAAAGCAGCCTTAAATTCCCTCCTCCCATTTTCTGCCTCCCTTCCTCTCCTCCTCTCCCTTCCTCCTGCTTCCTTTCAGTGGACTACTCCCACTGTTGTTTCCCCTTCATTCTCTGGGAGGTTAGTTAACTTTACACTTGACGGTAAAAGAGCTGGGTCAGAATCTGTAGAATAATTTCTAAGGCAACTGTCTGTCAGAGCCTGGATCATCTGCTCCCACAGTCAAACCTGCAGGAGAGGGAATCTATGAAAGGAAATCTCCATGAGGATCCCATTGCAGAGACCTTACCCTGTCATCCCAAAAGGGAGGGGGAATGAGGGGGGAAGGGGAGGAGGTTAAATTATATCATGCTTTTGGAGCAAAGCTACTAGGTAAATGTAGGATTCGTTTTACAGTATAATGTACAGTATGGTACTCAGAGAATGCTTTGCATTATACAGTACCTCTCAGATGTCCCTCATGTGACGGGAAGGCACCCATTTTAATCCCAAAGTTACCTACCTACCACACAAAATTGGTACCTCCACACTTTTATTGCTGAAAGTGATTTACATCAGAAGTAAAGAAGGATTTAAAAGTGAAGCTCCAGAGAGGAGAAAGTTAGTCACCTTGTGCAGTAACTGAGGTTCTTCAAGAGTTGTCCCTGTGAATGCTCCACGCCAGGTGAAGGTATGTCCCTGTGCCTTTGCTCGGAGAGTTTTGCAGCATGTCCATATAGGTCGTGCACACATGGTGCCTATTTTGCATGCCGTTGGCGCCTCAATAGTGCACGCATGACCCAGACTCCTCAGTTCCTTCTCTACCACGGAGCCTACTCCAAACTCCAAAGTAGAGGGGAGGAGGGTGGGCAGTGGAGCACCCACAGGGACACTCATCTAGAAGAACCTCAGTTACTGTACAAGGTGAGTAACTGTCTCTTCAAGAGAGAGAGATGTCCCTGTAGGTGCTCCACTGTAGGTGACTGAAGAGCAGTGCCCACCTAGGATGGTAGTGGCTTCGGAGTTGGTAAAATAGCTGTTGATAGTACAGCTCAGCCAAGTCGAGTATCCACCTGAGGACCTTGCATAACAGCATCATGTTTAGCAAAGATGTGTTCAGAGGCCCAGGTGGCAGCTTTGCAAATGTCTATAAGAGGAACATTGCTTAGAAATGCCACTGATGTCAATATTGATATGGAAGAGTGCATCTTGATTCCCATTGGAGGTTGTGTGCCTCTTAATTGATGACACAGTTGAATGCAGCCAGATATCCATTTAGATGTTCTTTGAGTGGATATAGAGTTACCCTTAGAGCATTCTGCAATAGAGATAAAAGGTTTCTGTGAGACACTAAATGGCTTGGTCCTATCGAGGTAAAAAGACAATACTCTCCGAACATCAATGTGTGCATTGTGGCTTCAAAAGTGTTGGTGTGTGGTTTAGGAAAGAAAGTTGGTAGTTGACTGGTTGATTGATGTGAAGGATGAATGTACTTTGGGAAGGAATTTGGGATGGGTTGGCAAAGTGACTCTATCTTTAAAAAAGATAGTATATGGTAGGTCTGCCATCAGTGCCCTGATTTCTCCCACACGTCTAGATGATGTGATTGCTATCAGAAATGCCACTTTCATGGACAGGTGTAGTAGGGAGCAGGTTGCTAAAGGTTTGAACGGTTTATGCATCAGGACCAAGCTTTTTGTTAGGACCAAGCTTAAGTCCCATGGTTGCTTGGGTGGTCTCACGTCCAGACAGAGAGTTTGGATACCCTTAAAGAATTGCTTTGTGATAGGGTGAGCAAAGATTGTAGTGTCACCAATTTTTTGGTGGAAGGTAGCGATAGCTGTAAGATGCACCTTTACTGAGCTGAGGGAAACACCAGATTGTTTCAGTTCCAGGAGATAGTCCAATATCATTGGAAGAGGTGCAAATGTTGCAATGGTTTGTCTGGTGGAACACCATGTCGTAAATCTCCTTCATTTGTGGAGATAGATGCTATGTCTAGTATGTTTGCTACTTTGTAGCAGCACTCTCTGGACCTACTCAGAGCAATTTAACTCATCATTAGAGAACCATGCCTTGAGATGTAGCATCTTTATGTTGGGTTAATACATCTGTCTGTAGAGGGAGTGTGATTGGGGTATGTCCAGACATCTGTGTTACGTACAGATACCACGCTTGTCTCGGCTATGTGGGGGCTATTAAGATTACCGTGGCCCTCTTGATCCTTCTCTTCAGCACCACTCTGGTTAGTAATGGTATCGGTGGGAACGTGTATAGAAGGTCTGAGTTCCAATTGATCATGAACGCATTCCCCCATCGATTCCTCAGACTGGACCTGGAGCTGAATTTGGGGCATTTCATGTTGTGTGCTGTCGTGAATAGGTCCATTTGTGGGTAACCCCAAGTTCGGAATATGTCTTCCAAGATGGCATTGTTTAACTCCCATTCGTGATTGAGGAGAAAACATCTGCTGGGTTCATCTGCCATGGTGTTATGGCATCCAGGTAGGTAGGAAGCTGAGATAGGGATATTGTGCTGGATGCACCAATTCCAGAGTCTCATAGCCTCAGCACATAGTGAATGCAATCGGGCTCCCCCTTGTCTGTTAATGTAAAACATACAGGCGATGTTGCCACTCATTACTCTGATGTTTGGGTTTCTTATGAGTGGCAGGAAGTGGAGGCAGGCATTGCGAAGTTCTGGCAGGTTTATGTGTAGCCTTGTCTCTGTTGTGGACCATAGTCCCTGAACTGTGTGATGTTGGATGTGTGCTCCCCATCTGATAAGGGATGCAGCCATTGTGATCATAAGCGATGGAGAATCTTGTGTGAATGGGATACCCAAGAACAGATTGTGTGATGGAGTCCACCAGGTTAGTGAATCCTTGACCTTGGGGGCATACTTAATCGTATGTTAACCTGTGTTTGGTTGGTCTGTAAATGGTTGCTAGCCAGCCTTGTAGGCAGGGCATGTAGGCAGCCTTGTAGGCAGCACTACAAACATGAATGCCGCCACGTGGCCCAGTAGTTGTAGGCATTTGTGGTCAGTGATCTGTGGACTGTTCCGAACTGTGGATCGGAGTGTCTTTATAGTGTTGAATCTCTCTTGTGGAAGTGATGCCATTGCCACCCTCGAATCAAAGTGAGTGCCAATGAACTCCAGTCGTTGAGTTGGTTTTATTGTAGATTTGTTTATGTTTATTTGTAGGCCAAGACTCTGGAAACAGTGTATGGTCGTTTGAGTGAATTGAATGGTGTCCGATGTGGTGCGTGACTTTAGGAGACAGTCGTCCAGGTAAGGAAAAATTATTATTTCTTGTTTTCTCAGGTGCGCCATTACTACCATGAGAATCTTTGAGAAAACATGAGGCTCTGTTGACAGGCCGAAAGGTAGAACCTTGTACTGGTAGTGGTCTGTGCCCAAAGTAAACCTCAGAAAATGTCTGTGGGCAGGGTGTACAGTGACATGAAAATAAGCATCCTGCAGGTGGAGGGCTGAAAACCAAATGAGGGCATCATTTTGGTGCTTGCCACCCAATTGGCATCGGAGGGGAGCAAATGGTCTCCAAAGAGCTGGATGGTTGGTGGAAGCTCTGGAATGGGTGAAAGGTCTTCTAGACCCTCGACCAAGACTTCAGATTTGCTTATTTGAGGAAGGTGGTTGGGACGTTGCTGGTAGTGGAGGGCATTGTCGTTGTGGTCTCTGTCTCTGTCATTGTTACTGCTGTTCATTGTATAACCTTTGATGTTGCTGTGTGTATGCCAGCTATCTAGGGTACTGATACGGTTGATACGTGTATTGTTTCCTTCTTGTGGCAGGTGTATGGACACCAAGGGACCGAACGGTGGCCTGTGAATCCTTCATGGTGTGCAGCACTTCATTTGTTTTGGCTGAAAACAATTTTTCTCCATCAAAAGGGACATCTTTGACAGTATTTTGTGGCTCCCGGGGGAATGACGAAGAACTGAAGCAGGAGGCTCAGCGCATGACTACGTCTATAGTGGTGGACCTGGCGGCCATGTCAGCGGTATCCAGTGAGGACTATAGAGCCATGTGTGAGATCACCTGCCCTTCAGAGACCAGAGCTTTGAATTGTTCTCTCTTTTCCTCATGAATGTCATTAATAAATTCCATAAATTTACCATAATTCTTGTGGTCATACTTGGGCAGTAATGCTGCATAATTCACCACTCTGAATTGTGGCGTAGATTAAGAGTATACTTTGCAGCTGAATAGGTCCAATCTCTTACTCTCCTTCTTGGAGGGAGTGGACCGAAAATGTTGTTTACTCCTTTGGTTGGCCATTTCCACTACCAGCGAATTGGGTGCTGGGTGTGTGAAAAGAAATTCAGATCCCTTCGAGGGAACGTAATATTTTCGGTCTGCCCTTTTGCAGATTGGGGGTATTATGGCTGAAATTTACCAGGCAGGTTCCATGATAGCTCCGTTGATTGGTAATGCTATCTTGGAGGAGGACAATGTCTGTAAGATATCAGTTAACTCATGCTGAGTTTCCGGCACTTCCACCAGAGCGATCTTAAGCTCGTTAGCCTCTCTTTTGAATAAGTCCTGAAAGTGGGTAAAATAGTCTGCTGTGGTTGGTGGTGGAGGCAAAATAGCCTCGTCTCATGAGAAAGATGAGTTGTTATTGGTTGGCGAGGTGTCACGAGCAGTGCCCTCTATCTGTTGTACCATGGGCTCCTCTCATGTTTCCAATGCTACAGACCATGAAGGTGGAGGTGGAGATCTGGTGTCATCCCTACGTGGACTGGGGCAGCTGCTATGGTGTCTTCTATAAGACTTCCAGGGACTCCAGTATGGCCAATGACCTGGGAAGGGAATGGTGGTCCCATCCATGGGTGGCCATACCAAGGTGGTACATCATGAGAATATGAGGACCGTGATCTTAATAGTCCGGCAGCAATAAGTGTCTTAATCGGGGAAGAATGGTGTTGGGAGAATGCCTCTTCAATCTCAACATCTTCATGTCTGGAAAACTGTGATGGTATCAGAGACAGCTGACGATGCAGTACTGACGGTCCCAGTGACGGTCCCAGTGAGACATTCGGTGCCCAATAAAGGAGATTCTGGAGTTGGGGAGACCAACAGATCTTTCTGATGCATGAAAAGCCACTGTGCCGAGAGCATCGGTGCCAAGGGGCAGGGTGCCAATTGTACCAGTACTCAAGTAACTTGTGCCAGCACCTTCACACTGAGCACATTAGTCTGCAGCACAGGAATAGGAGCAGTTGTCAGTACCATCTCCTTTGGCGCTATTGACGGTGCCATGGTGGAGGCAGGCAGCTTAAAGCTATTAGCCTTGGCACTGGAGCAGGGGGTACTGACGGCGGCCGCTGCATGGACCGTGCCGGAGGTGCCTGGAGCATTATAGGTGCTGAGCTGTGGAGCAGTCGGCACCGATTTGGTCAGTGACCATTTTGAGGTGATGTCCTCTCTATGAGGCGAGGAAGCTGGCTGCTATTTTGCCATTTTTTTGTCCCTAGGGAACAATGGTGTTGAGGAGACTGGTGACCTCTGCCGAGAAAAGGGTTCCTGCCCAGGGTTGGAGGCTGGTCTGAGGGCCTTTTCCATGAGGATGAGTTTAAGCCTCAGGTCCCCATCTTTTCGTGCCCTAGCCTTCAGTTTATTACAATGGGCACATTTCTGGGGAATGTGGGATTCCCCCAGGCAACAGACACATTGAGAGTGTCCATCTGAGATAGGCATCGCCTCTTTGTGCACCTTTTAAAACCCGGCGCACCAGGCATTTTCTAACTACTACTAACTGCACTATGGGATGTAAAATAATTTCTTTGTTTACAGGGGCTGTAAGTCTAACAACTGAAACTTATCTGACTAAACTAACCTAAAACTAACCCAATTTATTAATTTATATAATCTGTCTAATTGGAAAATGAAGGTTTTCAACAGGACTGCTGAGCTCCATCTCAGGCCGGGGACAGTAGAGAAGGAACTGAGGCGTCTGGGTCATTCACGTGCTACTGAGATGCCAATGGCACGTGAGGCAGGCACCACGCATGCGTGACCCATACAGGCACTGCTGCAAAACTCTCCAAACAAAGACGCAGGGATGCATCTTCACCTGGAGTGAAGGACCCACAGCTACATCTCTCAAAGAAGAATGTTATTTACATTGAAGGAATGAATCCCACAGCATTTTAACTTTCCTGCCGGAATAATGTTTGTGAGTCCCTCAGATTGTGTCTTTGTAAGACACGGCATCCTGCAAGTTGAGTGATATGTTTTGAGTATCCCTAAAAAATGTTAGCCTCCGCTCACATCTAACTTCTCATATACTCACTTACACTTACTACTAGTTCACAGAATATACCAATTACAAACAACAGAAACGCCACTAGCCATCACCTTCAGCCCCCAACAAAACCTCTCCAACGCATCATCAAGGATCTACAACCTATCCTGAAGGATGACCCATCACTCTCACAGATCTTGGGAGACAGGCCAGTCCTTGCTTACAGACAGCCCTTCAACCTGTAGCAAATACTCACCAGCAACCACATACCACACAACAGAACCACTAACCCGGGAACCTATCCTTGCTACAAAGCCCGTTGCCAAGTGTGTCCACATATCTATTCAGGGGACACCATCATCGGGCGTAATCACATCAGCCACACTATCAGAGGCTCGTTCACCTGCACATCTACCAATGTGATATATGCCATCATGTGCCAGCAATTCCCCTCTGCCATGTACATTGGTCAAACTGGACAGTCTCTACGTAAAAGAATAAATGGACACAAGTCAGATGTCAAGAATTATAACATTCATAAACCAGTCGGAGAACACTTCAATCTCTCTGGTCACTCAATTACAGACCTAAAAGTCGCACTATTACAACAAAAAGACTTCAAAAACAGACTCCAATGAGAGACTGCTGAATTGGAATTAATTTGCAAATTGGATACAATTAAAACTTAGGCTTGAATAGAGACTGGGAGTGGATGGGTCATCGCACAAAGTAAAACTATTTCCCCATGTTTATTCCCACCCCCCACTGTTCCTCAGACGTTCTTGTCAACTGCTGGAAATGGCCCACCTTGATTATCACTACAAAAGGTTTTGTTGTCCGTCCCCCCCTCTCCTGCTGGTATTAGCTCATCTTAAGTGATCACTCTCATTACATTGTGTATGGTAACACCCATTGCTTCATGTTCTCTGTGTATATAAATCTCCCCACTGTATTTTCCACTGAATGCATCCAATGAAGTGAGCTGTAGCTTACGAAAGCCAATGCTCAAATAAATTTGTTAGTCTCTAAGGTGCCACAAGTACTCCTTTCCCTTCAGTGATCATATAAGATCCAATGGCAACTACACCAATTGTTTATATGGAAAAGCGACATTGGAAAAGTACTTAATGTATCTGGAGCCGTTTGTAACACAATGTAACAGCTGGAAACAAAGGGAGCTAGAACCATTTAACCAGCCTGCTCTCTGCAGACTGCTAGCAAGTGATCCATTAGTACAGTTGGGAACAATGGGATTATGTAATAAGAAGCTCTTACCTTCTTTGCATATTGGTACTTTTGGCAACCCTAGTGAACTTTGCCAGGAAGTCAAGATATGGTACAGTAACTTTGCTAGTCATCGGAATCTATATTTCAATAAAAAGAGTGTTAGATAAATGGATTTCTAGATAAATCCTGTAATGAAATCTCATGGGACTAAAAAAAACCATTCACTTCCATTATTAGTTAATTACTTTATTAAAACACAAAAATAATCTCCTCTGATAACCTCTCTTTTGTTGCATGTACTGCATGTCATTTCTTCTCACCTTTGTTTAGGCTCGAGTATAGTATCAATGTATATCTGATAAATCCTCCAGCAAGAGGCTATATCCTACACTTACAAGTGACAAGGATCCCTAACCCTATGATCTTCTGTGTCCATGTGTAAAAATATATCTCATCTAATCTAACCTGTGAGACAATCTTTCCCTGTGTACCACATTCATATGTAAGGTATTTCCACATATTGATGCACATATTGCTTGTGGATCCACATATTTCTTATTTGAAAATTCAGCACTGTTTTCAGTTAAAATGTAAGTAATTAGGGTCCTTGATTATACCAGAGACCAATATTTTTAAAATGTGAAGATAACACCTTGTAACAGCACAACATACATGAAAATCAAACATCAAGCATGTTGGAAAGGATATAAAACCTAAAATCTGTGAAACCTTTGGACAGAAAGTCACGGCCGCAGGGGCCAGAACTGGAACTCCAGAGGGCCAAAAATCTGTCTTCTCTTACTCATTAGCATAATAAACAGTGGGGGAGAAGGGTAAGTATGTTGAAAGCAACTAGAAACAATGGCTTGGAGGTGTGTGGTATAACTCTTTGCAGTTCCCCTTCATTTTTAAATGTTGTTGTACCACAGTTAAGTTACTAAACTGAAAAAATGAGAACTTTACAGAGCTGATACCAGAAAGCAGACCCCATGGACAAAGAAGTTAAGATTTTCAAAGTTGCCTAGAGGAGTTAGCCACACAATTCCATTTGAAGTTAATGGACATTGTATAGCTATCCCCTGGTGGGTTTTGAAAATCTCAACCAGTGTATACAACTAGTGGTCTTTAAAGAATATATTCCACCCTAGCTATGGCTTAAAGGTGGTGAACAGACAACAATCCTTCCTCCCAATTATTCATTATTTTACAGTGCTCAAAAGTGTGCTAAGCTCCTTACAATATAAATGAGAACATGTTCCACCATGACTCAAAGGGTTTTCAATCTGATCTTTCTCCAGGAATAAGACTGCATAATTTGATTAATTATCACAAAAGCTACTTATGCATTGTAACTTCTTCAGACACTGGGAGCAATAATGCAGACAGAATCCTTTAAAAGAAATACTAACGGCCAAATCTAGTTCATTTTACTCGCATAAGTAATTCTACTGTCTTCACTAGAACTACTCAAATAAGGCAAGAAGGATTTGGCCCCATCTATCATCATTTTGATAAAACAAGACCTGCTCCTGCTCCCACTGAAATCGAGAGGAAATTCTGCCATTGACGTGGATAAAAACAGCCCCCAAGTGATTATACACATCTATAACATAGCATACCTGTGCCAGCACAGAATCAAACTGTGCTTGTGTCAGAGGAAAAAGAAAGATTTCAATCACTCTCCTGAATTCGCCTTTTGTGACTGTTAGGGTGTGATCAATGTCAATTGTCTGAAATGCTTTTTTAAGTTCACCTTCTTTTTCAGCTGTCCTTTTAAGTAAAATCTGCTCAATGTCTGAGGAGGACAGTGTGGGATCTGGGACAGAGCGCACAGATGTAGCTGTAAAACATATCAGACAGTTACCATACACTCTTAAACCTGGCAAAATCAAATGTGAGGTTTTTTTTGCTGAGAATTCAACATAAATCAATCCATCTTCAGAGATATCACTGTAAATTAATTAACATTTGTGCAGCACTTTGAGGATCAAAAGCAATATAAAAGTGCTAAGTAGTATTAAGAAAATTCCCAACTCTTTCTTTATAACATTATAGCCAAGACACAGGTTAACTTGGAAGATACTCTAAAAGAGCAGTTAAAGTTACAAAGTAAAACATATGTAAAGTAACTCACAATATATTTGTCCATCCCATCCCCACTAGCACTCTCCCTTCAGACTACAGCAGGAATAAAAAGACCGTGAATGTCTTTGCTTTGTATCATTTAAATGCTTTATTCAGTTATCAAACTCCTTAGTGAAGTCATCTGCCAATGATGTGTCAGCACCAATTGTTTGTGTGCAGACTCCTTTGCAGATAAGCATGTTACCATACAACAGCCAGCTTGCTGTAAAAACACCCATGGAAAAGGAGGGCTGGAGAACTGGACAGCATGGTGACAAATCGTGTAATCCCTACTCAAGCAAATTCCCCTTGACTTCAATTAGAGCTTTGACTGAGTAAGAACTGAATAAGGACCACAAGATTTGGCCTGCTATTTCTCCTGCATTTATAGGGCCAAATTCAGGCATTGATACTAATGTAATACTTCCTTTGAAGACAATAGGAGCTGAGCACCCTAATCTAATCATTGAAGTTAGTTGTGCATTTACATTTTTCCGTATTTTTGAGGCAAGTCCTGCCATCAATTTGTACACAATATTTCAGTTGTCTTCAATGGCAGAATATGGCCCTTTATATTATTTACACTTTACTGCAGTTTCTCCTCCACACATCTCCTCTGTGACAGAGTGCTGAGAACCAGCAGCTGAACTAGCACTCTGGTCACTATAAATCTAATTAGTTCCCCTGAAGAGGGCCTGATTGAGGGAAGGGATGGCTAATTATCAGATCAGCCTGCACTGGGAAAGACCTAAGGAGCTAATTTGCCCATTAACTGAAAGAGTAGAAAAGAAGCACAGGAAAGCCATGCAAGGGAAAAGATGAGAGAGAGAGAAAGAAAAGCTAGCTAACCAACCAGGCCAGAGTAAAGGGAGATCTCTGCATGGGGAGATCTTTTTCCCCTCTCATGTTTGTAAAATACTGTAAATAAGAATTTCTGCACTGGACTGTAAGAGGATGGTGGTTAATAAAACACAAATAAAGTACACAGCAGGGGTTACAGACCAGGGGTGTGAGAGCCATTTATATGAGAAGACAAGAACTAAGGGCTGTGCCTTGTCTCAAGTGGGGACTTGTCCTGGAGCTGCCTTATCTGTACTGAGAGAGAACCTGATGGGGGAGCCAGTGCAAAGGTTCAGCAGTCCAGGCAATGGAAGAGACATTGCAATGGCTCGTAGAACAGCAGAAGGAGATAAGGAAGACCCTATAGAGAAGACCCTCCATCACCTGGAGAAACAGTGCATGCTTGCTTGCCTGGCAAGCTGAGCAACAGAAAAGCCTACAGAACTTTATTCGAGACCAAGCCCATGTGCAGCAGCAGCAGATAATGTTGTGAGTCCTGCAGCGGGGAACAGTAACCAGACACAGGTGATAGGTGTCTGTAAGATGGGCCCTGCAAATGATCCTGATGCATTCTTGGTCAAGTTCAGACAACCTATATGGCTGTAAGGCCAGGTCTACACTACAGACCTGTATCAGTATAACTACCTCACTCAGGGGTGTGAAAAATCCACTCCCCTGAGCAACAGAGTTATACCAACCTAACGCCTCATGTAGCCAGCTCTATGTCTGTAGGAGAGCTTCTCCTGTCAACATAGCTCCTGCCTCTTGGGGAGGTGGATTAACTATGCTGATGGGAGAAGCTCTCTCATGGGGGTAGCAGCATCTTCACTTAAATACTATAGTGGCCCATCAGTGCAGCTGCGTCGATGCAGTGTTTTAAGTGTAGACCTGCCCTAAGTAATGAGCAAGCATGGGACTATGATGTGATTAAGGCAGTCATCCTAGATCAGGTGGACTTATCCACAAAAAAGTTCCCTGCAAAAGTTTTGGGCCACTAGATCAGTGGTTCTCAAACATTTGTACTGGCAACCCTTTTCACATAGCAAGCCTTTGAGTGTGATCCCCCTTAAAAATTAAAAACACATTTTTATATATTTATCACCATTGAGTGATAAAGTGGGGTTGGGGTGAAGGCTGACAGCTCACGACCCCCAATATAATAACCTTGCAACCCCCTCAGGGGTCCTGACCCCCAGTTTGAGAATCCCTGCACTAGATGGACCTGGGGGAGGTTACAAGCCTAGGCATTTCCCCAGAAACTGACAGACTGGCTACCAGCTGGTCAAGGCCAGACACTCAGATTGCAGGTGACATCATGGATGCAGTAATTCTAAAACAGTTAGAAATCACAGAATCATAGAATATCAGGGTTGGAAGGGACCTCAGGAGGTCATCTAGTCCAACCCCCTGCTCAAAGCAGGACCAATCCTCAACTAAATCATCCCAGCCAGGGCTTTGTCAAGCCTGACCTTAAAAACCTCAAAGGAAGGAGATTCCACCACCTCCCTAGGTAACCCATTCCAGTGCTTCACCACCCTCCTAGTGAAAAAGTTTTTCCTAATATCCAACCTAAACCTCCTCCACTGCAACTTGAGACCATTACTCCTTGTTCTGTCATCCGCTACCCCTGAGAACAGTCTAGATCCATCCTCTTTGGAACCCCCTTTCAGGTAGTTGAAAACAGCTATCAAATCCACCCTCATTCTTCTCTTCTGCAGACTAAACAATCCCAGTTCCCTCAACCTCTCCTCATAAGTCATATGTTCCAGTCCCCTAATCATTTTTGTTGCCCTCTGCTGGACGCTTTCCAATTTTTCCACATCTTTCTTGTAGTGTGGGGCCCAAAACTGGACACAGTATTCCAGATGAGGCCTCACCAATGTCAAATAGAGGGGAATGATCACATCCCTCAATCTGCTGTCAGTGCTCTTACTTATACAGTGCAAAATGCCATTAGCCTTCTGGGGAACAAGGGCACACTGTTGACTCATATCCGGCTTCTCGTCCACTGTAACCTTTTCTACAGAACTGCTGCCTAGCCATTTGGTCCCTAGTCTGTAGCGGTGCATGGGATTCTTCCGTCCTAAGTGCAGGACTCTGCACTTGTCCTTGTTGAACCACTGTAACCCCTGAAGAGAATCCCTGAGATCACCTGATTATGGGTCAGGAGGCATCTGCTGGTCACTCTAGATTTTGTGGTCAAGCTCATGGAAGAGTACATGAAGGTGGACATTCCCAGGAAAGAGGGTTGGCAGTTTAAGGGACCAGATCCGGGGAGGAGGGTTGGAGAAACCCAATCTGGAAAGGTCACAGAGAAGAAGAGGGAAGAACCTAGGGGGATACCAGCTGGGACTTGGGGTATTGTCTGTTATCTGTGTGGACACCAAGGACACATAAAAAGAGACTGCCCTTATACACAATGGGGGTTTTCAGAGTTCTGCAGTTGGACAGGGACTCTTGGACATGGAAGGAAAAAGAAACTATCTATGGTTTCTGTAAAGGTGGGGAGAAGGTGTCAAAGGGGTCCAAAGTGGACACTGCCTCAGACTGTTCACTGGTAAAACAGGAATTGGTGAAGCCCCACTGGATGCTCCTGGGAGCAAGGCTGTGGCTTGAATGCGTCCATGATGATACGACACTTTGCCTTACGGCTGATGGACCCCTGGAGGTGCAGGGAAAGCTTAGATGGAAACGGGCTGGGGTAGTGCACATGCTGTCCCACCCCAACATAGGAGCCACGGACTGCAGCTCCTCCCACTAGGGAGGAGAAAGAATAAAACATTTGGGGAAGCAAAAGGAGAAGCTAGACTTAGAGGGGTTGGAAAACACTAGACAAGGGAACACAAACCATGGGGACAGCAAAGAAAAGGGAGGCCTCCTAAAGAAAGAGGGGGAGAAAGAAGAAAACACAGAATTAGCCTTGTGCAGTTAGGAGAACCCGAACTTACTGACAGGGGTTGGGTAGTTATTGGAATCCCCCTCACCCGAACGTCAGGAGGAGGGACCCCAGGAGCCATTCGGAGGTGTTGGAGAATTAGAGACTCTGGGTAACCAGAAGGGTGAGGGGTGCCAATGGGTCCTGCCACAAAACAAGGGGGGCAAGAGTGGGGAGAGTATTCCACAAGGTTGCCCCTGATGTGAAGACCTATGGGCTGAGACAGAATTATGGGGGCATCCCCCACCCAAGAAATGTGATTTTTCAGGTAGAGAATGGCTGGACTCCATAAAGGGACCCGGGAGGAACACCCTGGGGGTGAAAGACTCCAGGAGAGTAGCACCTCCAGTAAAGGAGGGAGAGCCCATGGAAGGAAAAACTTTTCCACCAATCAAGGGGGAAAGGTGTGACAGAGTGCTGAGAACCAGCAGCTGAATCAGCACTCTGGTCACTGTAAATCCAATTAGTTCCCCAGGAGAGGGCCTGATTAAGGGGTTTCTTGCACATATCATTAACAGTAATCAGTTCTGACAAAGGAAAGTTGAGCATACAAATTCACAGTGCGACTCCACTGAAATCAGTGGAGCTGTGTCAATTTATGCCAAGAGTGAATTTACCCCTTAAATTAAAACTTCATGGCAAGGAAGAAGGAAAAAAGGCATGAACTGTGAATCAGGAAGCCTTAAACACCAGTAACGCTCAATGTTTAATTCTTGCAAATGAGATATTCACAGCTGTATTATCAATTTTTATTTCATTAAGTGATTCATAAATCTTACCAGTATAAAATATGCATATGCTCTTTCAGGGGTAAGCATATAATAATTTCAAGAAGAAATTATCCTATGGCATAACAGGATATACATGAAATCTCTGACATTGTCAATAGTACATACCTAGCAGCTTTAAGATCAAGGGCTAGATGGTTGCCCAGAGTAGTGGGGAGAAAGACCCTGTTCCCCAAGTGCCTGTGCAACTGCAATAAACCTGCATGGACTGCAGCTCTGGGTGCAGGGATGGGGAAGAAAGCAGGAGCTGTGCTCCTAATACCCCTTTCCCTCTCTACACGTAAGTGGGTAGGGAGGGGATTGGACAAGAAAGGGCCATGGTTCCATCCCTCCTATGCATCACCCAGTACAGCTGGATAGATGCATCCTGTGTGTGTGTCTGTGTGAGTATAGGGAATGGGTAGGGAGAGTACGATGCACCCTGTAAAAGGCTGTAGCAAATTACTCCCCTAAGAGTGTAAGAGGGGAATACTGGAGACATTGTGCATCAGACAACCCTCTGAGGCACTGTGCATCTTGGAGCAGTGCAGCTTGCTCTGGACTGTGTCAAACAGCACAGTCTAGGCCTAAGTGAATAACACAACTGAGGTGGCCAAGAAGGCAATGCCAGATTCAGGCTGCATTTGTCTTGTGAACAATACGGGGATTTCAGTTTAAAATCCTGTTGCTTATAAAAACTAGAACTCGACAATCTCTACGTACATGAGGCCGATTTCATTGCGCTTTGCCTGCTTCTGCATGATGATGCTCTGCCTGGTGTAGACTGTGGTCTTGCAGTAAATCTGATTCCATGAGAGTAGGGGCGTAAGCCACTGAAGTCTTCTGCACTCACCACTCTGGCCATGGTCCCTTGGGAATTTAAAAACACAATTATGACACTACTTTAGAACCTAGGACACAAAAGGAAACAATTTGACTGGTGGCAGTATCAAGAAGCATAAAAGTTGACTTAATGAAAAGAGGCCCAAGTTGCTGTTCAAGATTCTGACTGACAGAGAATCAAATCTGACCAAGCAGATGTGGGACTCTTTTAAATTGTGCATTGGAAGTTAATTAAAGTTTGTCCTATGTGGGCACTTTCAAATTTGTGTTTCAGAGCAGAAAATATAAATAGACTAAATCATGTCTCAAATAATAAATAATTAGCTATCTGAATTTTTTAAATGGCATTAAGTTATCTTGAAGGTTATGTTTATTAAAAGACTAAAAATAAAAACATTTGCTTGCTTCTTTTTAGCTTTTTTCTACAAGCAATAATATACTTCAAGATGAACAGTTTTAAATAATTACAGTTCTTGGGGGTTTGATATATATTATTGCTAAAGGAGAATGCAAAAACTGTGCATTATACAGTACATTAATGACTGCTTTATTTACAAGTGTTAGATTTTCTGGTGAGGAAACTTGAGGCAAATTACACAACAAGCAAAAACAGCAAGGTGGACTTCTGAAAAAAAATGGTGCTTTTGTCTCCTAGACAGTGCTCAAACTGTGATGGTATAATGTGACATATTATATGTATTTCTCTAAAGCATACTGGGACATTTGGCTCCATCCATCTGAAATAGCTGTATGTTTTCAGTGCCAATAGAATCAAAGATTCTAAAACAACACCACTGTTCAACCCTTTCAGCACTGTTCCTTGATCATTATTTATAAAACTTCAGCTATTTTTCCCATAGACATTGGATCACATTTATCTTTAGTGGAATTCTATTGGTATCAGTGAAGTTACACCAAGGATGAACTTGACCCCAGGTTACATTTTCAAAGACCCTGTCTCCCTTTTTTTTTTTTTTTTTTTTGTTCAGGAGTAGTTTGCACCCAGAAAGTTTGCACTCTACTCAAATGAATGACAGGAACAAGATAGAACACTCGTGCCTCTAGCTTCCTGATCTCTGCCCATGATCAGCTATTTAGAGGCAAAAATACTCCTTGTTGTGTCTGCAAATGAATTGCAAATGGCCCCTGAATTTCAATTACAGGTGCAAAATGAAGGTACAAATTTTGGAAATGCAAATAGCATTCACAGTAAAGGAGGCTGTCTTTTTGAAAATGTGGCCCATTTAGAAAAAATAACTGTGGGCATATTCCTAAATCTAGGCTAAGGGTATGTCTACACTACGGAATAAGGTCGAATTTATAGAAGTCGGTTTTTTAGAAATCGGTTTTATAAATTCGAGTGTGTGTGTCCCCACAGTAAATGCTCTAAGTGCATTAAGTGCATTAACTCGGCGGAGCGCTTCCACAGTACCGAGGCAAGCGTCGACTTCCGGAGCGTTGCACTGTGGGTAGCTATCCCACAGTTCCCGCAGTCTCCGCTGCCCATTGGAATTCTGGGTTGAGATCCCAATGCCTGATGGGGCTAAAACATTGTCGCGGGTGGTTCTGGGTACATATCGTCAGCCTCCCGTTCCCTCCCTCCCCCCGTGAAAGCAAGGGCAGACAATCATTTCGCGCCTTTTTTCCTGAGTTACCTGTGCAGACGCCATACCACAGCAAGCATGGAGCCCGCTCAGGTAACCGTCACCCTATGTCTCCTGGGTGCTGGCAGACGCGGTACGGCATTGCTACACAGTAGCAGCAACCCCTTGCCTTGTGGCAGCAGACGGTACAGTACGACTGGTAGCCGTCATCGTCATGTCTGAGGTGCTCCTGGTCGCCTCTGTGAGGTCGATCAGGAGCGCCTGGGCAGACATGGGCACAGGGACTAAATTTGGAGTGACTTGACCAGGTCATTCTCTTTAGTCCTGCAGTCAGTCCTATTGAACCGTCTTATGGTGAGCGGGCAGGCGATACGGACTGCTAGCAGTCGTGCTGTACCATCTTCTGCCGAGCAGTCATGAGATGTGGATGGCATGCAGTCCGTCTGCTGCCAGCCAAAGATGTAAAAGATAGATGGAGTGGGTCAAAACAAGAAATAGACCAGATTTGTTTTGTACTCATTTGCTTCCCCCCTCCCCTGTCTAGGGGACTCATTCTTCTAGATCACACTGCAGTCAAGGTGCAGCGAGGTAAATCTAGCCATGTATCAATCAGAGGCCAGGCTAACCTTCTTGCTCCAATAAGGACAATAACTTAGGTGCACCATTTCTTATTGGAACCCTCTGTGAAGTCCTGCCTGAAATACTCCTTGATGTAAAGCCACCCCCTTTGTTGATTTTAGCTCCCTGAAGCCAACCCTGTAAGCGCCCCTCCCAGCGTCAGAGCAATGGCAAACAATCGGGCATCTGAGAGTGCTGTCCAGAGCAGTCACAATGGAGCGCTCTGATGGGGCTAAAACATTGTCGCGGGTGGTTCTGGGTACGTGTCGTCAGGCCCCCGTTCCCTCCCTCCCTCCGTGAAAGCAAGGGCAGACAATCATTTCGCGCCTTTTTTCCTGAGTTACCTGTGCAGACGCCATACCACAGCAAGCATGGAGCCCGCTCAGGTAACCGTCACCCTATGTCTCCTGGGTGCTGGCAGACGCGGTACGGCTTTGCTGCACAGTAGCAGCAACCCCTTGCCTTCTGGCAGCAGACGGTGCAATACGATTGGTAGTCGTCCTCATCGTGTCCGAGGTGCTCCTGGCCGCGTCGGCTGGGAGCGCCTGGGCAGACATGGGCGCAGGGACTAAATTTGGAGTGACTTGACCAGGTCATTCTCTTTAGTCCTGCAGTCAGTCCTATTGAACCGTCTTATGGTGAGCAGGCAGGCGATACGGACTGCTAGCAGTCGTACTGTACCATCTTCTGCCAGGCAGGCAAGAGATGAGGATTGCTAGCAGTCATATTGCACCATCTTCTGCCAGGCAGGCAAGAGATGGGGATGGCTAGCAGGCGTACTGTACCATCTTCTGCCAAGCAGCCATGAGATGTGGATGGCATGCAGTCCTTCTGCACCGTCTGCTGCCAGCCAAAGATGTAAAAGATAGATGGAGTGGGTCAAAACAAGAAATAGACCAGATTTGTTTTGTACTCATTTGCCTCCTCCCCTGTCTAGGGGACTCATTCCTCTAGGTCACACTGCAGTCACTCACAGAGAAGGTGCAGCGAGGTAAATCTAGCCATGTATCAATCAGAGGCCAGGCTAACCTCCTTGTTCCAATAACAACGATAACTTAGGTGCACCATTTCTTATTGGAACCCTCCGTGCAGTCCTGCCTGAAATACTCCTTGATGTACAGGCACCCCCTTTGTTGATTTTAGCTCCCTGAAGCCAACCCTGTAAGCCGTGTCGTCAGTCGCCCCTCCCTCCGTCAGAGCAACGGCAGACAATCGTTCCGCGCCTTTTTTCTGTGCGGACGCCATACCACGGCAAGCATGGAGCCCGCTCAGCTCACTTTGGCAATTAGGAGCACATTAACCACCACACGCATTATTCAGCAGTATATGCAGCACCAGAACATGGCAACGCGATACCGGGCGAGGAGGCGACGTCAGCGCGGTCCCGTGAGTGATCAGGACATGGACACAGATTTCTCTGAAAGCATGGGCCCTGACAATGCATGCATCATGGTGCTAATGGGGCAGGTTCATGCTGTGGAACGCCGATTCTGGGCTCGGGAAACAAGCACAGACTGGTGGGACCGCATAGTGTTGCAGGTCTGGGACGATTCCCAGTGGCTACGAAACTTTCGCATGCGTAAGGGCACTTTCATGGAACTTTGTGACTTGCTTTCCCCTGTCCTGAAGCGCATGAATACCAAGATGAGAGCAGCCCTCACAGTTGAGAAGCGAGTGGCGATAGCCCTGTGGAAGCTTGCAACGCCAGACAGCTACCGGTCAGTTGGGAATCAATTTGGAGTGGGCAAATCTACTGTGGGGGCTGCTGTGATGCAAGTAGCCCACGCAATCAAAGATCTGCTGATATCAAGGGTAGTGACCCTGGGAAATGTGCAGGTCATAGTGGATGGCTTTGCTGCAATGGGATTCCCTAACTGTGGTGGGGCCATAGATGGAACCCATATCCCTATCTTGGCACCGGAGCACCAAGCCGCCGAGTACATAAACCGCAAGGGGTACTTTTCAATAGTGCTGCAAGCTCTGGTGGATCACAAGGGACGTTTCACCAACATCAACGTGGGATGGCCGGGAAAGGTGCATGATGCTCGCATCTTCAGGAACTCTGGTCTGTTTCAAAAGCTGCAGGAAGGGACTTTATTCCCAGACCAGAAAATAACTGTTGGGGATGTTGAAATGCCTATATGTATCCTTGGGGACCCAGCCTACCCCTTAATGCCATGGCTCATGAAGCCGTACACAGGCAGCCTGGACAGTGGTCAGGAGCTGTTCAACTACAGGCTGAGCAAGTGCAGAATGGTGGTAGAATGTGCATTTGGACGTTTAAAGGCGCGCTGGCGCAGTTTATTGACTCGCTTAGACCTCAGCGAAACCAATATTCCCACTGTTATTACTGCTTGCTGTGTGCTCCACAATATCTGTGAGAGTAAGGGGGAGACGTTTATGGCGGGGTGGGAGGTTGAGGCAAATCGCCTGGCTGCTGGTTACGCGCAGCCAGACACCAGGGCGGTTAGAAGAGCACAGGAGGGCGCGGTACGCATCAGAGAAGCTTTGAAAAACAGTTTCATGACTGGCCAGGCTACGGTGTAAAAGTTCTGTTTGTTTCTCCTTGATGAACCCCCCCGCCCCTTGGTTCACTCTACTTCCCTGTAAGCTAACCACCCTCCCCCTCCTCCCTTTAATCATTGCTTGCAGAGCCAATAAAGTCATTGCTGCTTCACAGTCATGCATTCGTTATTCATTCATCACACAAATAGGGGGATGACTACCAAGGTATCCCAGGAGGGGTGGTGGAGGAGGGAAGGAAAATGCCACACAGCACTTTAAGCACAGCACTTTAAAA